AGAGCTAGTTTCAAATGCAAGTACCCCTAATTCTTAAGAGAGATATTGGACATAAAAATATAGAAAAATATATTTTCTCTTTTTTACCCTATGTCCAATACAGGACTATTTAAGAATTAGAGGTAAGTGCATTTGAAACTAGCGCTCCACTTAGGAGATTGGTGGCGGATTTTTCCCTTCCAACCTTTTTATTTTATTGAGCTAATATTTTGAACTTCGAAAGTTTTTATTCATCCTCATCTGGGGTGTTCAATGAGATGTTATCATTACAGTGGAAGAGCCATAAAATAAAGACTGGTCTCATACATCTTCATATGGAATATATTTTTACAGTTTTAAAGACTACCACCATTTAAGCTGCATATACACATATATAACATATACATACATATATAATCTAATAATATATTCTACATATATTTTTCATAATCTTCCTGTCATTTCAAAAAGCAGATTGTGTGTTTTCAAATCCCGCACAGGAATATACATGTTCTAGCCTTCTTTCACAAGAAATGCTGTTTGCAGAAACTGCTTATTGCAACTATTGTAATCAATTCAGGCAACTCTTCTTTTAATGGTATGCTGAGAAGCTAGAGAGAGTGGATCACATTCTGGGTTATTTCCTAAAAAAAGAGAGTTTCAAATTCAAGGTCCAAATAGCCAATCTGAGAATAGATAGATAGATAGGTAGTCAGAGAGATAGATATTTAATTATATAATATTAATAAATATAATAGAGAAAATGTATATAACAGTGTGAACATTCTAGAAATTAGACATTATGACTCAGTGTAAGCTTCCAAATGTTCTCCTACCTTAACAAACTGAGGTCCCTATCTAATAATAGAAATGGTTCCTGTATGAAAACAACATAATTTGTTCCCACTAATATTATACATCATTTAATAATTTTAGTTTACAAAGAGTCACTTACCATATATTTCATTGTTCAGGCAGGTTTTCTGTATTTCTGAGACACAAAACTGATCAAGAAAGAAGGAAAATTGTTAATTTGTCCATATTTGTTAGTCTACGAGACATTTCCAGAACCAGGGGTTATTTATGAAAGTCTGAATGCTCCATGTCCAGATTTGCCGTTAAGGCATTCGGACAGCAGAATCCGGCCATTCAGACAATAAAAATGTTCATACTAATTAAACAAAGTCCAGATTTTGCAATACTGGCTACAAATGAGACAGAATTGTGTCTGTCCAGATTTCAGGGACTGGACGGCTAAAACTCACTTCTGAATTATTAAAATAGGGGCCAGATTGTTAAAATCCTGACCAATATTTTAAACATCCAAACCAAGGACTGAATTTGCCGATCGGTAAACTTCTGAGGAAGCCCTGTTTAGGGCGAAACGCGTCAAGTGGAGCTAGAGACTTATTACTGATTATATTATTGTCACTTATTTTATATTTTGTACTATTTTACAATAAATTTATAGTTTTATTTATTACTCTGCTCCCTCATATATCTTCCGTTCCTGGTGCACCTTGGACCCTTCCCAAATCCTCAGGTGGGGATTATACCACCTCAAGTTTTCATCACCAGAGCAAGTTTATTGCTCTGGAAATTGTAAGTAAGATACTTACCTTCTCTACTATACATTATTCACCAGATATACTGCACTATTGGATTTTATCTATGTTCTTTGTTTTATGTACTATTGTGGAGACTTAGAAGCGACGCCTCATCATTGATCTCATATCCTAAGACGGGGTTATACCGTCCAGGCGCTATACAGTAGAGCTCTTAGTAGCTCTGGAAAGTGTGAGTTAGTCCTTCTACCAGTTTTCCGTATACCTCATAGGAGAATACATTATCTTATTTGACATACTGCACTATTATTGTCTATATTTTATTTCTTTTCTCTATAAGGTTGACATCCAATCATTACATTGTTGAACAATTCTGTATGTATATATATACTTTTTACTCTTTATATTTTATTGGCGCGGTATTCCACTTCTGTTTCTTGCACTTTTCTGATTATTAGCAGGTACTGGGAATCCCTGCTGGTTTGCTGCTGCCGCATTTGTAGTCACTATAGAGAGCACCTATACCTGTTTCTTTTTCAAACTATATGCCTTCTGATGGGATTAGTCAGTAGTGTTAGCAGCCAGTGGGGAAAAAACCCACTTAGTAGCACAAGGGCCAGGTCTTGCTTGCCAGTCACCACTGTAAAAGTAAATTAATTACGATATGCAGAGCTTATTATGAGTAACTATAGGGAGGACTAAATAGTATTAAAATAAGGGTGTCCTGTCTATGGTCCCCCTTTATCTCCTCCCATTGTCCTGCAGTGAAGATATTAAGAAGATATAGTGACTGGACAGTTATTGGCTGATTTCCAAGCCAACTAATTGGAGATCTCTGACTGAGAATAAATGCATAGTAAAGCCTTTATAAGGACCTTTTTTTGTGGCACAGTTTTTTATTTTTTTATATCATTGTTCCAATTGTAATATTATTTGTCAATGGATAGGGTATACAACAGTGGTTTTCTCAGACAACCCGCTGTGAAAATACATTATTTACATTATGCACTTTGATCTTATAATGTTACTGCATTAAAAACAGTGGTGACATTATAGTGTTAAAGGGAAACTCCAGTGCCAGGAAAACAATGAAAACCCCTTCAGTAACTTACCAGAGGCAGCGACGATGTCCCATGTCGCTGCTTCTCCCTCCGCCGCCGCTCCTCCTCTTCATTACGTCGACTGATCCCGCCCACCGGCCGGGGAGACCTAATGCACATTGCTTTTCAATGCTTTCCTATGGGGAAATGAGCGACGCTGGAGGTCCTCACATAGCGTGAGGATGTCCAGCGACACTCTAGCACAGGTTTCCTGTGCTAGGGACACGGAAGTGCTCTCTAGTGGCTGTCTAGCAGACAGCCACTAGAGGAGGAGATAACCCTGCAATGTAATTATTGCAGTTTATAAAAAAACTGCAATAATTACAGTTGCAGGGTTAAGGGTAGTGGGAGTTGGCACCCAGACCACTCCAATGGGCAGAAGTGGTCTGGGTGCCTGGAGTGTCCCTTTAATGGTAAACATTAGTGCAGTGCATTGTACAATGCTGTAACCAATGCAGTAATGACAAGGAATTCATCAGTGAACCCATGCAGGAGATTTAGAGGGACATTGTGTTGAGGGGAATTAGGTTTAAAGGTGAACATAGGCTGGGAACAGCCTTTTTGATACTGTGATCTGCAATTCCCATCACTATAATCCAAAGAACAATGGTCTGCCCTTTAGCTCTTTGTCATGTTCCTCAAACCAACCATGCATTTTTTGCAGTGTGGCAGGGTGCATTATACTACTGAAAGAGGCCACTGCCATCAGGGAACATCATTGCCATGAATGGGTGTACGCAGGGTCGGCGCGTCCATAAGGCGGCACAGGCGGCCGCCTTAGGGCGCACCGGCTCTGGGGGCGCAAAATTCCAGTGACCGGCAGGAGGGAAGTGCTCCCTCCTGCCAGGTCACCTCCTGGATCCCCGGCGCGGCGTGTGGCTGAATTGGATGCCGAGGTGGCGAGGGAGCTCTGATCTCTCTGATGTGCTCCCTCGCAGGCTGTTTGCTGATGACGTCATATTCCGGCTCCCGCGGCATCAGTAAGCAGCCTGCGAGGGAGCAGATCAGAGAGATCAGAGCTCCCTCGGCATCCAATTCAGCCGCACGCCTCCCAGCAGCCCCACTGGACCACCAATGAGAGACCCACGCCAGCTCTCCAGGTAGGGAGGCTGGGTGGGACATTTTAATTTAATTTAGATGATTAATTACTGTTAGTGTGTGTGTGCATGTGAGTGAGTGTGTCTGTCAGTGTGTGTGTGTGTGTGTGTGTCTGTCAGTGTGTCTGTCAGTGTGTGTGTGTATGTGTGTCTGTCAGTGTGTGTGTGTGTGTGTCTGTCAGTGTGTGTGTGTCTGTCAGTCAGTGTGTGTGTGTATGTGTGTCTGTCAGTGTGTGAGTGAGTGTGTGAGTGAGTGTGTCTGTCAGTGTGTCTGTCAGTGTGTGTGTATGTGTATGTGTGTCTGTCAGCGTGTGTGTGTGTGTGTGTATGTGTGTCTGTCAGTATGTGAGTGAGTGTGTCTGTCAGTGTGTGTGTGAGTGTGTCTGTCAGTGTGTATGTGTGTGTGTATGTGTGTCTGTCAGTGTGTGTGTGTGTGTATGTATGTGTGTGTATGTGTGTCTGTCAGTGTGTGTGTGTGTATGTGAATATGTGTGTGTGTGTGTGTGTGGTTCTGTCAGTGTGTGTGTGTGAGTGAGTGTCTGTCAGTATGTGCGTGTGTGCATGTGAGTACATGTGTCTGTCAGTGTCTGTGAGTTTGTGTGTGTGTGTGTTTGTCAATGAGTCTGTCAGTGTTTGTGTGTCTGTCAATGAATGAGTGTCAGATAAGTGAGTCTGGCTGTCAGAGATGTCTGTGTGTTTGTCATTGAGTGTGTGTGACTGTCAGTGTTTCTACACCCCTGACTGTAGCGTGGCCAAGCGGAGTGTACCGTGGTACAGGAACTTCTGTTTCCTGTACCTAGCAGGACTGACAGGAAAAGCTCACTGTACCGGGATTCGCTCCGCTCAGCCACGCTACAAGAAAGGTAGGAGGCACACCAGGAAGGGGAGGGGACCACTATGGGGGTGGGTGGTGCACCAAGGGACATGGAGAAGAGGGGAGAGATACCCTAAGGTACAGGAAAAGGAGGGAGGGGGGAGAGGAACACTAAGCGACAGGGAACAGAGGGGGGAGGGGAGAGGAACACTAAGGGACAGGGAAAGGAGGGGGGAAGGGAAAGGAACACTGAGGAATAGGGAAAGGAGGAGAGAAGGGAGAGGAACAGTAAGGGTCAGAGAAGGGAGGGGACCATTAAGGGACAGGGAGAGGGGCTGGATGTAAAAGAAACACACAGCGGGGCTTGAGAAGGAAAGAGACACACAAAGGAGCTGGGAAGAATAAAAGACACAAAGAGGAGAGATAGGAGACACACAAAGGCAAAAATAGGAGATAAAATACACTAAAGGGAGTCAGATATTTAAAAGACGGGATAAGAAACACAAAAGGGAGGTTAAGAGGCACATGGGCGAATATGTTTTTGGGGGGGGGGAGGAAAAATGTATCTTCGCCTATGTACCCAAAATTCTTTGCACCGGCCCTGGGTGTACGTGGTCTGCAACAATCTCTAGTTAGATTGTACATATCAAAGCAACATCCGTATGAATGCCAGGACCAAAGGTTTCCAAGCAGAACATTGCCCAGCACATAACACTGCCTCGGCCGGCCTGCTTCCCATAGTACATCCTGCTGCCATCTCTTCTGCAGGTAAAAAAGAGACATGCACCCGACCTTCTACCTGATCTAAAAGAAAACGTGATCCATTAGACAAGGCAGCCTTTTTCCATTTCCCCACAGTTTAGTTCTGGTGTTCATGTCCCCATTGAAGGCACTTTTGCACTTTCAATGGTGGACAAGGGTCATCATAGGAACTCTGATTGGTCTGCAGCTAAGCAGCAAACTGCTATGTACTGTGCGTTTTGACACCTTTATATCATGGCCATCATGATATAGGTTTTTCAGCAATTTTAGCTACAGTGTGATCATATTAGACAGCCTAGCCTTCGCTCCCCACGTGCATCAATGAGCCTTGGGAGCCCGTGACCTTCACCGCTTGTCCTTCCCTGCACCACTTTTGGTAGATACTAACCACCGCATACTGGGAACACCCCCTAGACTTGCCATGTTGGAGATGTTCTGACTCAGTCGTATAACCATCACTATTTCCTCTTGTCAAAGTCACTCAGATCTTTTCTCTTGCCCATTTTCCCTGCTTCCAACACATGAAATTCAAGAACTGACTGTTCATTTGCTGCCTAATATAGACACCATTCCCTTGACAGGTGCCATTGTAATTATACAATCAATCTTATTCAATTTATCTGTCAGTGGTTTTAATGCTGTAGCTGATCAGTCTAACTATAAGATAAGGCCAGGGACTAATGAAAGTATTTAGAAAATTGGGCAGACTAAATGGGCTGAATGGTTCTTATCTGTCACATTCTATGTTTCTATGTTTCTAGTATGATTCATTTCAATTTTTTTTTTGTTACCTGAGTTTGAAGATTCTTCTTAAGTTTTTCATTTTCCACCTCTCTAGATTTACTTTGTGCCAGGTTTTGTAAAAACTCACACCTGCAATAACAATAATAATAACAAAATGGCATTCAAGAAGCGGATTAGGAGGGGTTGTCTGGAACACACTTTTGCTTGCCCAATCAGTTTTCCAGTGCAGTACCTCCACTACCATAAATCTTTTCCTTAAATATGTACTAGGATAGAGTCTCTGTAACTAATCAGAAAAATGTATGAATAGACAAAATGTATTTGGTGTCATTATGGCCTTTAGCAAACTTGTCTGAATATGATGGAGTGGCAAAGTCTCTATATTCCCAGTTTGCTGAACTGAATTTCAGACCCATCTGTTTCTGCACAGAATGGAGATACATTAGCAGATGGGATTCCTCAATAGTCCACATGATCTTTAAAATCTGCACGGTGAGATGCAGAAGCGTAACTAGAAACTACCATGCCCCGGGGTAAGAATTAATCTGGGGCTCCCCCATGTGTCTCATCCCCCCTGCCAAGTGTCATTTTCCACCCAAGTTCTTCCATGTGTCTCACCCCCACATCCCTTTCATGTGTCTCACCCCACCTATTCCCTCCATGTGGCTCATTCTCCCCCATCCCCTTTATGTGTCTCAATTTTCCTCCATGTGTTTCATTCCCCCTTCCATGTTTCTCAATTCTCCCACCAGTAACTTCCATGTGTCTTATTCTCCCCCCGTCCCATCCATGTGTCTCATTTCCCCCCAGTCCCATCCATGTGTCTCATTCCCCCCCAGTCCCATCTGTGACGGTACTATAGTGTATCACCGTCAAGCATTCCCTTCTTCCCATAAAAGAAAATCACCAATATTCCTCGAGTAGAAATATCCCTGGAATCCTGGAATAATCCACACATGAGCCAAAGCTTAATGCTGGAACAAGACTGATTTACTGGCACACAGAACTCACAATTTATGCAACACAAAACTCCTCCTCTGGGCCAGGCTAGATAATTGAGTTTTAGCAATATACACAGCTCAATTATCTGCTGGCCAGAAATATTACAGTTTTTTAACAATTTCTTTCTATTCAACATAATAATTAATAATTTCAACATCACTGGGTGGCTGAGGATACTGGTAGTCATATATCCAAATCTCCCGAATTTCTGTTCGGTAGTTTCCGTGTCGCATCGTGTGGAAGTTTGACCGGCTCGCCATGTGAAGGTATCCGATCTAGAGTTCCATTGAATCAGTAGCAAGAGCCGGTCTCCGTTCGCATCTAACTACACGAAAACCACCGTTCGTATGGTGCAGCTGGTTACATGTGAATGTTCCCCTCATTCGGTAGATTCTATCTACCGAACGCCGGTTTGATTCGTGGAGGGGAACGTATTCATCCAGGACTTCCATGGGGACCGGGCGTTCACATGTTTGCCGTGCCGAAATTAGTTCCAGGCAATTCATGCGTAAGCCCCGCTGACCGCATTCGTGAGTTTTAAGATGTCCGCCATCCTTTGTTCTCGCCACGTGTTCGTATGTCGAATGGCGGCCACCTAGTAGAAATTAAGTCGCGGTTTTCTCTGCGTTCTAATGCTGATTGCTACCCAGGGTGTGTGGTCTCCGTTCGGTAAACGAATACATTCATTCCATACATATTGAACCGAACTAATACAGGCATTTAAACAGCAGGGAGAAGGTTTAACTGAAGGCACACAGGTAAATACATGAAAATCCTTCACAATGGCCCCCCTTTTTCTCCCTGCTCCGGCAACTCGGTTGGACCTTTCCTGGTCCAGTAGGGTTGACTGGACTTTCCAAAGTTTTTAATCTGAAGCCAAGTCAGTTTGGCGTGACAGTCCATCAGCATTCCTGTTTTGCTTGCCTGGGCTATAATGAATAATGAAGTCATAGGGCTGTAAAGCCAGGCTCCAGCGCAGCAAACGGGCATTATCCCCTGAGACCCGGTTGAGCCAAACCAGGGGATTGTGATCGGTGATGAGGGTGAAGGCCCGGCCATAGAGGTAACGTGTGAGCTTTTTTGAGTGCCCATACTGTTAAGACACCTCTAGTGTCTTTAAGCCAAACCGCCGTTTAGTAGACCTTCCCCGGCTGCAGTACAGTCTCCGTTCGCTTACTCTGTGACACACGAACCAAATGCAGGGGAAGCGGCAATCTCCCGATCGAGATCCGTGAACGGCTCCAAACTCCCGAACGGCAATACACGAACTGCTGGTAATCGTCGAACAGCAATATTCCCCAAGCGGCTTTCGTTCCATCCAGCAGTCTCTAAACGTGAAGAAGAAATCCCCCCAATAACGAGACAGAAGCTCCGCATTGAGGGTCAAACAGGATCTGGCTTTACTGTGGGCTACCTGCCCGTATTTATGCAGGTCTCCCACTTGGTGGACACTCCCCTAGGGGACCAAATGGGAGACTTAAATGACAGACAGATATGGGGACATTCCAGACACACAGTCACAGATTTTACCCACAGTGCATTATGATTCCCTCCCCTCTGCCCTGGAGTTAATTACCAAGTAACTCAATTAACTCCAGGACAAAGCCAGTCGCCATCTTAGACATAAAATAATAAAAGACATAAAAATATATAACTACATGAAAACCGAACATTTCCCATTCGTATTACATGTCCCCAGATAGCCTGGATCTGAGTGCATATTATTAGCGAATAGCGCTCAGATCCCACACACATAGTTCAATCGCCATGGAGTCAAAGTTCTTACAGTCTTTCGGTATACGAATGACTCCATGGGAAGGCTATCTGGGTTAAGTCTTTTCGTATGCTCTCAATCTCCCGAACGGCCGGTGTTCGCATGCTTTCGTGGAGGCAGCCAGGCGTTCCGTTGTTTCAGCGGTGTTCGGCAGAAAAAGTGTCCGTTTTCAGTTCCATAGAAATAGAGCCAAACACCGCTGGGCGTTCGCTTGATTTAAAATGGCCGCTGCCTCGTGGTCGACATACGAACGACGACCACCCTGAATTCGGTTTAATTGAGAAGTGTCTGCGGTTAACCACAACGTTCTAATTGGGATCACTTCATTAACCAGCAGCACACTCCTCACTTGGGTGGCCGTTCGTTCGGCAGGTTTGTTCGGGAAAAAGAGTCATTCGAATGGCTGGGCTATAGAAACCAGCCATTCATACGAACGGGGGACAAACAGACGAATGCAGTAAAAATCCAAGCAGACAGATGGTTCTGTCACACATACCAAGGCCAAACACTCTTTCTCAATAGTGGCATAACTGACCTCCCTTGGCAACAGCTTCCGACTCAGGTATGCCACCGGGTGCTCCCCTCCATCCTCTCCGATCTGGCTTAGTACTGCCCCCAGTCCAAACATTGAAGCGTCTGTGTGGACAATAAATCTTTTGTTAGGATCTGGGGTAACCAACACCGGAGCATTAACGAGAGCATTCTTTAGTGCTTGGAAAGCCACCTCGCATTCCGGGGACCACAGTAACTTCTTTTTGGTTAGGTCGGTCAGGGGTTTGGTCAGGGCGCTATAGTCTGGTACAAAGCGTCTGTAATAGCCGGCTGTGCCCAAGAAAGCCATGACTTGTGTTTTGGTGTGGGGAGTGGGCCAATTGACAACGGCCTCGATCTTAGCCGGCTCCGGCCGTTGCTTACCACATCCTACTCGGTGGCCCAAATATTGTACCTCCGCCATACCCAAATGACATTTGTCTGGTTTCAGGGTCAGCCCGGCCCCCCAGATCCTATCTAATACTACCCCTACGTGTTCTAGGTGCGCTTCCCAGGTATCGCTATGGATGGCGATGTCATCCAGGTAGGTGCACGCGTAGTCCTGGAGACCTCCCAGTAAATGATCCACCATCCGTTGGAAGGTGGCCGGGGCGTTCTTCATCCCGAATGGAATAACCCGGAATTGGTATAGGCCGAACGGGGTGATGAAGGCAGACTTGGGTATGGCATCTTCTGCTAGGGGAATCTGCCAATATCCCTTACATAGGTAAATTGTGGTCAGATACTTCCCTGCAGAGATACGGTCAAGCAATTCGTCCATCCGTGGCATTGGATAGGCGTCAGTAACTGTCTTGTCGTTGAGTCGCCGGTAATCCACACAGAAGCGGGTTGTCCCGTCCTTCTTTGGTACTAGGACTACCGGCGAGGCCCAAGGACTTTCTGAGTGTTCTATTACCCCTAGCCGAAGCATCTCATCGATTTCCTTCCGCATCCCTTCTCGGACTGCTTCCGGAATACGGTAAGGGGGCTGCCTCAGGGGTGCTTGCCCTGGAGTCTCCACCTTGTGGACGGCTAGGAGTGTGTACCCAGGCTTCTGAGAGAATGTGGCCTGTTTGGTTTCTAGCAAGCGAACAGCTTGAGCCCTCTCTTGTGGTTCCAGCTGTTCGCCTAGCTGGACTTTCTCTATCTGGGTCCTCCCTTCGTTACCGCCCAGTAGGTCGGGAAGAGGTAGTGTCTCTGTGTCTTCACCTGCTGGCGCACGGATAGCGGTCACCTCCTCTGCCCGTTCCTGATAGGCCTTAAGCATGTTGATGTGAAAGGTTCGTTTCACATCCTCATCCTCGCAGCTAGCTATGGTGTAGGTAGTGTCGCATATCTGCCCTATAACTTTATAGGGGCCCTGCCAGGCGGCCTGGAGCTTGTCTGTTCGGACCGGTCTTAGCACCATGACTTTTTGGCCGATCTGAAAGCTTTGG